TATGTACTGAAATGAAACGATATTTAACTAACAAGTATTTAATTTCTTTCTGCAAAGAACATCAAACATTTAAATGTCGAAGTTCAGTGTGATGGATGCGCCTGCTTTTGAGAACAAAATTTATCAAAACATGGCATAATATCAGATATGGCCACTCTGGGAACTTCTATAGCAATATTTAGCCTTGAACGATACTTTGACTTTATAGCTGCCAAAGTAGAAAAGCCTGTCTCGCATAAGTAAGTTGTTGCAAAAGGAATCAGGATTTTCAGTGCTTTTTGGCTCAGTGTTTGGAATTCCATGCCAATATGTATCCAGAACTCCAGCAAACACAATTCCTTAAATTTACTTTTTAATGGAGTATCATTAGTGAGATCGATGAGTTGTTCTTGCTCATTTACATTCTGAGATGATGGCCCAGGAGTATTTTCGAATGGATTTTTAATCCAATTAAATTTATCAAAATCATTGCAAAAGTACTTTTTAAAATGAACTTTCAACATTACGAGATGATCAAGTAGGCAGCTTTTTATGTCCATTGGAAGCACTGGATTATCAGTGTCTTGTACCATTGACACCAGAGTAGGGAACATGTCTAGCATGTCATTTTCCATACTGTTTCTCCAGAGCTCTAATTTTCACATGAAACCCTTCACTTTGTCATTCCAAGAGAGTAAAGCTGCCTCTGTAACGCCGTGGCGGCAGGGGGGCGTGGAGGGATCCCTCGCCGACGCCATGGGTAACGTCCCTGCGATGGGGGTGGATTGTTTGTCTCACCGCTATCGCCACTTGTAACGCCGTGGTGCAGGGGGGCGTGCAGGTACCCCTCCTGACCACCACTTGTTACACTGTAAGGAGTCAACACCCTAATCCTAGCTTACCCTCAGCTAGGATTCTCCGGTTTCGGGGCTCCCTTCTCTCACTTAAAGCTGCCACCATTTGTCTCTCTATTGTGGGAACCACCCCCTGACATATAGTCATAGCTCCCTCTTGACAACTCCTCATATAGTTTACAGGTAGCCACGTGTTACATTATTAATACATCTGAAGGGGCGTTGGTATCAAGGCTACTAACTACTGCCTGTGTGGCAGGTGCCTACCCCTGTCCATTCCTAGTACCTCCCCTTAAGCCTTCGGCTGCTGTTGCAACTCTCATTTTGGGTAGGATCTGCTGGATGGGTCGAGGAAAGGTGATTATGGAGTGTGAATCACAATTCCCTGCATACATCCTATCCTATCTACTCTATCTATTTACACTCTTATATTTACATGATTTACAATATTTACATTAGTAACAAGGCCGACTTTCAGTTGGGACTACATAGAGAATTGACTTGCAGCTACGCTAGGAACCTCCCCTTTGGGGGTGTAAACTGGAGTCTCTCTCTCTCTCTCTCTTCGACTATAGGCAAGTATTGATCGTTCCATGGGATCCTGTTTCCCTACTATTCATTAAATACGATTACACTATCCTTCGTCAAGTTTCACTCTTAATATAATCTACCCTTAGTTCTACATATTGAAACCCACATACTATATTTATCACTACACGCTAACCATAACCTTGACACATACACTATAAAACCCTTATTGCATGACTAACCTCCTAGGCAATTACATGGTACATGATTCTAGTATCCTCCCCTAAGGGCTCACCGGGCACACTGGAGTTTGCATATTCAAATCTCACACCAACACTTTTATCAACAATACTATTAAACAACATGGCTGATATGCGTAAACGAGACTTACTTGACATAGAAGAATGCAGGCCCATCCAGCACTNACATTCTTAACCTAGTTGCCTGTCCAGGTGTTGTCATCTACTGTAATGGCTGTAAAACACTTTTCGCAAGTCTCGAACATTTAGGTAATGGCTTAAATTTCCAGTCTCAAATTTGAGGCACTACAGCCTCATTCCCTTGAAGTGAAGTATTCAGGATATTTAGTTTCTCAAATATATCTGTGAGGTAAGCCATTTTCAATAAAAAATCCTTGTTGCTGAAACTGTCTGCCAGTGAGTGATTTTCCCCATTTAAAAAACAGAACACGTCATGCCTCAGCTTAAACATTCTCTTTAATATCTTGCCTCTTGAAAGCCATCGAGCATCACTAAAAAACAACAGAGCAGTGTGTTCGGCACCCATTTCCTAACACAGAATTTTAAAAATTTTAGATTTCAGAGGATGCGGCTGCTCCTGAACTATCAACGCTGTCTCTGGCGTACGCGTTTTATAATTGCCGATAAAGAGAATAATTATTAGTTATTTTGAAATTCATGATAATTAAAGCCTGTACTCATCAAAAGTTTTTCTATATGTATTTTTATTTGTTGTTACTTTTCTAATTGATTTAGGGCAGTTTTAATTTTTATCTGTAGGAAAGTATGCTGCGTCCCCCTTTCAAGCCCTTCGCCCTCCCCCTACCCTGGGGTTCGCACCCCACAGTTTCAGAAACACTGAGTTAATGATCGTGCCTTGCTTGTTGCTGAGGGAAATGAGGGCAGTGATGAAGATGACAGTGCTACTCAAGACTTCATTTGGGAGAATATGGGGAACTATAGGGGACAGTGGGAAAATTTCAAGGGTAGTGTCAGAGCTCGAGGTTCTGCGAAACATTCACGGAAATTGTAGATGTTTTTGAGTTTTTTCAACAAAGAACTTATTGACACTGTAGGCACAGAAACAAACAGATACACGGAGCAGTTCCTATGTGGGCGTGAACTATCAGTCAGGTTGCATGGTAGGGCATAGAAACCTGTGACAGTGGGAGAGATTTATGTTTGCGTTGGGTTTGTTCGTGCTCATAGGCATTATACAGAAACCTACTCTTTGGTCATATTTTACCACAAAGAGAGTAATTTCCACACTGAGGTTTAGAGACATTATAACACGAGACAGACCAGAGTTAATATGTAAATATTTGCATTTCAATGACAACGAAAACATCAGCAATTTTGAAGGACCAGAAATACTTTTCATAATTTTCCCAGTAATTTCACATCTTAACCGTTCAGCGTGGTTTGACGTGTATGTTTCGTCAGGTATTTAAATCGTCTGGGGGGGTTCAACGTGTATGTTTCATCCAGCTGCACACCTATGTTATAACGCCCATAATAATTGATGGTTTTGCTGTAGGTTGTTAGATTTTTTGCTGGCCTGTTGTCAGGCGAACTGTATTTAATGACACACGAGTTTAGCTGCGCTAATTCGTTACATACGCCTGTCTTGCAGCAGAGTTCCTGTGGCACTTGCAAGCGGTTTCTTCGTTCTACTGTTATGAATGGCGTGTTTTCTTTGCTATGAAGTTATAAACAGCAGAGACGTGATATGTGCTGTGTTTATAATATCATATTGCCCTGAGCTGGCCACACTAACACACTCAATTGGAATTCTTA